CCACAGCTACCATGAAAGTATACCCAGACCATGAAGATTCTCCACCTCAAAACCAAAAGAATGGGAGGTTTGCGCAGTAACTAGTGCCTTTTCTGTTTTGCCTTTTGTCTATGCAACAAATTTTTTTTTTTTTTTTTTAAAGTCCCTGGTATTGGAAGGGGCTGAATTCAGTTGACTAGCATGGACTATCAGTAAATCAGAGGGTAGCCCACAAGTTATTTTGCAACATAGGTGACACAAATTTGAATAGGAGATATCACTGGACTTGGGAGTCAGACCACAATTTGGTTTTCAGTTCTTCCAAATAGTAGCAATGTGGTTTTATACAAGAAATTTAACTCCTGTGACTATCACTTTCCTCATCTGTAAAATAAGAATCATAGGTGCCTCATGAGGTAAAGAGATCTGTAAAGAGAGGAGCACAGAACCTGGGGTGTTATTAAAGGAATCAAGATGATGATGACTGTAACACTTTCCTTGAAGTCCAGTGGTTCAAGAAATCAAGAAAGACTGACAGAGTTAGAATACTTAAAAGAAAAAATGAAGTTATAGATTAAGTTACCTAGTACAGAATGGCTATTGTTCATTCTACATTAAAGCATATTGTGCAATCAGCTTTACATTTAAAACATTTAAAACGGTTTGCTAAATACACTGTTAAAATCAGCAATGAGCTAAAATACAAAGCCTCTAATAAGTTTTTTTAAAAAGTGAAGGATTATTGGAAGTTTTATGGCATGGCATTAGCTCCACTACTCAGAAAGCAATGACTTAAAAGTGAGAATGAATGTGATAACCCAAGTGTCATATTTAAAAGCAAAACATGTATTAAACTAACTACTCCATCAACCTACACAAAAAAAGCAAAACTCAAAACACAAGATTTTTATTCATCTTACGGCAAATTCACTTTCCAGTTGAGAATCTTGCTACATTAGGAACAAAAAAAATTTATATTGGACATTGGATATAAAAATATAGCATGATCTGGAGCATTCCTGATGCATTAATTCACATGCTTTTCAGTTCTTTCAACCACTTTTTCATCCATTTAGTTTGCTTCAGAACCAGCAATAAAATCCAGGTATCTGAACTTTACTTTTAGTACAATAAGGCAGCTGCCAACTAAAATTGGCCCTGAATAACTCAACGTAAAACTGGACCACATTTGCTGTCTAATCTTTTAAAATATAAAGGCAGAACTACTCATTACAGCTCTCCTGCCGAGCAGCAGTTATAATATAGTAGATGGACCTAAAAGTATAAAACGTTCTTTTGATTGCCTTTCACAAAGGGATCCTATTTCATTCGATTCAATAGTTATTAAACAATATGTGTAAGGCACTGAACTATGTAAAAATATATATTTATCCCCTGGGAGCTTAAGGTCTAGTAGAACTAACATAACATTTAACCTAGTATCTGAAATGTGAGGCATAAAACAGCGAGTGCTCTTAAAGAAGTAAAAGCAAAAAAGTATTATATTAAAGTACAGGGGAGGAAAAGATTACTTCAGTTTTAGGTCAATGGAAACTGACTTAAGTACTGAAACAGGGAAAAAAATAAAGATGAGAGAGGACTTCCATTTCCAGTGACTGGCAAACTAGGTAATTCAGATTAAGACTCCTGCTGAGAACTAGAAAAACCTGATACCTGCTTAAGGTATGGAAAGCTTTTGGGAGGGTAAGACAGTAACTAAGAAGAGTTTAAGAAGGAAGAAACAGATCAAATCACCAAGTACTAGGGATGCTATTTTAAAGAATGCAACCTAATTACATCTTTCTCATCCCATTGTCTGACTATATACAGGCACTCACCCTCCTTGGCCTCTCTCTAGTTCCACTCCAGTATCCTCTAAGTGGTATCCTTTCCTTGATACTCCAAAATGATCTTTCTATAACATGAATAATTACTAGTCACTTTCTGGTTTAAAAAGAAAATCACTTGTCACTCCCTGGCTTAAAAAAGGAAAAAAAGTCAATTGCTCCCCATTAAATCTAAATTAAAATCCAAATTCCTTGCAGTGGTCTCAAAACTCTCCAAAATCTGGATGCTACCCACTCACATCTCTTCCCTCATTGCCTACTGCTTCACCCTCCCTTCCCACATACCCCACACCAACATAACCATCTGTGCCTATACACTTGCTATGGTTTTTCACTCAAGTGGGCTTTCCAGTTCTTTTCACTCACAGACCATCTCCTTGATCAATTAAGATCTAATTAAAATATCACTTCCTCCGTGAAACTCTACACCTTTGGACTCTTATCTTGCCAATGCACCTGGCCAGCAAAACATTAATCCTGAATCTATGCCACAATCTTCCTTCATAACTCCTAAGGCCAATCAGCTGAGCACAACTGAAGAAAAATCACAAACTCTTGGCACAATTACAAACACATGATTTTCATTATCAGCTGAGTTTTCAGCATTGCTCTAACACCTGTGTTCTCTACTGGTTTAATTTGTCAGCTTGACTTTTGCTCTCAAAGACGATTTCAAATTTTACTATTTTTCTGTTTCTCCATAAAACTGCTTAGCCCCCTATCTCTCAAGAAATAACCTTAACTCATTCATTACCTAGAATAACAGCCCCTCTGGCAGCTACCCCACACCCACCCACTCTCTCTTGCTATTTATTAAAAGACCAAGACCTCCCACTGTGCCTTTACATCCATCTCCCCAACCCCTTCAGCCTATAAACATATCAATCTCTCCAAGTAGGGAGGGATCCTCCCTTGACACTAGGTCCCCCTCAAACTATTAATTAATCTCTTATTTTCCCTTCTTATGCTCAGTTAAGTGTAGTCTACTCTATCGCCCCTTCCTCATTTTTCATGACCTCCTCCCATAAAAACCCTACAGAATAGCTCAGCAAAATTTCACATACTTTCTATTCTGACACTTGCCTATTTTATGATCTCCTCTCTTCTCACGTTCCCTTAATATCAAAACTTTCAAGGACTTGTATTTGACTCACCACTCTTTAGACACTATGCTTTCTCTGAATAATTTCATTTTTTCTCCTAGTGTTCATATGCAGATGACTCCCAAATATTTATTACCAGTCTAAACCATTCTCTATTAATACACTCATATATTCACTGCCTCCTGGTCATCTTCACTTGTTACACAAGCACATCGAATTCAGCAATAACAAAATTTTAAATCCTACATCTGCCTGCGCTCTCTATTTTACATTCCACCAGGGCTTACCCTTGACTGGTCCCTCTTCCCCCCACAATCAATTATCTATCCTTGATTATTTTATCACCTACTTTCCCAGTTTGTATCATCCTCTTACCCTCTGCCCTGGTTCAGGCCTTCTAAATTTATTAACAAGACTATTCCAACAGACTCCTAACTGGTCTCTGATTCTAGACTTATTCTTCATACTGCTGCCAACATGCTTTTAAAAGAAAAATCTGATTCTGTCATTTCCTTGCTTAAAACACTTGAATAAATTCTCTTTCCAAGCTCCAGGATATTCAAGGCTCTGCATTTTCTGGCCTCTATCTACCTCTACTGCTCTCTTCTTGTCACTCTTGGCTACATATTTCATAATCCAGGAATAAAAAATAGCTTGTAATTCTAATTTACTTATTTTTTCCTTGGCTTGGCTAACTCCTACTCATCCTTTACAGTTTGTGTAATCCATCTGCAAAGCCAACATCCCCCACCTCTTAGGTGGATTAGATTCCCCTTCTGTGTTCTCATATTTTCCTGTGCATCTCTCTATGGCTGCACTTACCAACGTTATTTCATAATGCTACGTTTATGCATCTGCACAGCCCTTTCCCTAAAGAGTAAGCTCCTTGAAAACAGAAACTGTCTTTATCACCGTTATATCCCCATCGTCAAGAACTTTCAATTACAGGTACTCTTTCAATTACAGGTACTCTGTTTCATGAATGAATGAATGAATGAATTACAGGTACTCTGTTTCATGAATGAATGTTATATCCCCATCGTCAGGAACTTTCAATTACAGGTACTCTTTCAATTACAGGTACTCTGTTTCATGAATGAATGAATGAATGAATTACAGGTACTCTGTTTCATGAATGAACGAACGAACGAACAAGTACTGTTTCATGAATGAATGAATGAACGAACGAACGAATGAATAAACAAACAAACCTTTTTCCCAACTTCTCCATCACCTAAGTCCTACCACCCACCACCATCATCCCACCTCCCCCACGTAGTCTGACCCGTATACTTAATATTTAAAACACTGCACACTGAGTATTTCTGTCGGCTATTCTCCGCTAGACGAAGAGTTCCTGGAGGACGGGTCTTACCTGCCTAAATCTGGTACCTGGCACACGGGTAGAGGCAGGAATGAAAAGGTTTAGCAAGGCTGGGAAAGTCCGTCATGGCCTTCTCTCACGCAACCTCCGCCAGGCTCGGTCCTGTCCCAGGAGGCGAGGGACTGGGGACGCGTGATATCCCGCCCAGCAACCCCCCTACCCCAGAACCCTGCGTGCTCGGGGTGCGCGGCTCGCCTCCACTCGCACACCACCCTCACCGCGCCGCCCTCTCCGGTCGGAAGTTGAGGAGGGCTGTGCAGACTCACCGGCAAGCGGAACTCCAGGTGCTCTTGCGCCATGAGCAGCAGATACCTGTTCAGAGGGCTCGGTAGCGCCATTGCAGCCGTCACGGTGCGCCTGCGCGGCCCGCGCGGTGTCTACCCCTTTTCCCCCGACAGGGTGCTTCCGCTGAGGCGGAGCCTAAAGGGCCGGAAACGGAAGCTCGGCGAGGCAGGCGCGCCCCGGATTTTCCCGCGTGGGTTTGGATCACAGAGGTTCTTGGAGTGGCTGTTCACCTCGGCTGTTCGCTCTCCCGTTGAGGTTACGAAGTACGAGTAGCTGGTGTGAGAGGCTGCCTTGTATTCAGGAGCAGGTCGGGATAAGACAATGTAGTTCCCAGTGGTCCTGCCACCTGAGTTGCACTTCCAGCGATCTCTGCAGCTCTTCAAACCCTAGTTCTTCAAAACAGGACTGAGATTTCACCTTTTCCGTGCAGTCTTCTCTGACCACTCCAGGGTTTGGGGACTGACTTACCTGGAACACTCATTTAATATTTAGTATACTTTTTGTATTTTTGCAATAACTTTTCATGGATACATACTTTGTAAGCCAATTAGAATAAGCTCTTGAGGACCGAGATCATCTCTTACGGTTTATTCTGTACCTCGCAGAAAACAAAAGTGTCCTCAAAGTATTCAGTAATTACTAGGTGTGATGTCACACATGAACAGTCCACAGTCAACTATATTAAAACAATGATAGAAGTTGCTTCTAACTAGTCACACTTGCACAGATTTCAGGATAGCATCTAAACTAAGTAGCATATTCGTAAATTTTAGTAATTTGCATATTCTATGTATATCTTGTGGCTTTTGAGAGCACTGAATTCTTTATGTTATTGAGCGCTCTTTTACATTCCACCTTAATATTGTGTAAAGTACAAAAGAGCAGGTATCCTACATATTCCAGGTGTAAAGTACAAAAGAGCAGGTATCCTACATATTCCTTCATGTGCCAGGAATATAGTTGATGCTTAGTTGTAGTGTTTAAGAACTGTGGCTGTGGTGTCAGTCTTAGGCTCAAACCTCAGTTCCACTATTTACAATCTGTAAGCTCATAAGCAAATTTCTTAGTCTCCCTTAGCCTGTTTTATCTAAAATGGAAAAATATTGCCTCCCTCAAGGGATTGTTATGATTAAGGGAAATAATATAAAGTGTTTAATATAACACCTGGCATTATTCTATGGGGTAAATAAATCGTATTTAGAGAG